TGTAATAAGAATTTAATTTTCTAGAAAAAATAAATAAATTTCGTTTCTTTGAATGTTAGAAAAATCTTTAGGAACATTTTAATACTTAAAAATTTTGCTGGGAATAAAAATCTTTAAAAATTATAAATAATAAATAATTTATAAAATTTTAATAAAATTTTTAAGTAATTATCTTTAATTGTAGATACATTTGTAATTAAATTCATTGAAAGAATTTATTTATTTTTAAAAATTTTATAAAGAATTCTTGAAAAAAATTCAATTATTTTCAATAAAATTCTTTAAAAGTATTGAAATATTTTCAGAAATACTACAGTTTTGTGAAATTTCAATTTTCTTCATAAATATTTCTTGAAAAATTCATTTATTTAAAAAAATTTTTATTAAAATTCTTCAAAAGAATTCAATTATCTTCAAAAACTTTGATAAAATTCTTTATGATAATTAAAATTTAGAAAAAATTAATTACTTTTTCAATTATTTGTTTTTTGTATTTAAATAATTGAATTCTTAAAAAAATTTTAGTTAAAATTTTAGAAAATAATTGAAAAAATCACTGATTGTAAAATTAATAACTTAAATTTTACATTTAGAAACTTTAAAATTATTTTTAATTTACAGTGACGCATAATTGTTGTAATAAGAATTTAATATTCTAAAAAAAATAAATAAATTTCGTTCATTTTTTTTAAAAGTAATTATCTTTAATTTACAAGTGTAATTAAATTCCTTGAAAGAATTCAATTATTTAAAAAATTGTTTATATAAAAATTCTTTCAAAAAAATTCAATTATTTTTAATGATTTTAATAAAATTATTCCTAAGAATTTAAATATTTTCAGAAATAATAAAATTTGTTTGCAAAATTTAAATTATTTTCATAAATACTTATTCATGGAAAAATTCAATTATTTGAAAAAATTTTATTATAATAATTCTTAGAATTAATTAAATTATTTTCAAAAATTTTGATAAAATTATAATTTAATTTAAAAAAAAAATTTATTACTCTATCAATTATTTATTTTTGTATTTAAATAATTGAATTCTCTAAAAATTTGCTAAGAAGAATTGATTTAAAAATTAATTTCAGTTAAAATTTTAGAAAATAATTGAAAAAATCACTGGATTGCAATAATTGAATGTAAAATTAAAAACTTAAATTATGTATTAAGAAACTTTATGATTATCTTTATTTTATAGTGACGCAAAATTTAAATTTTTTTATTGTTAATTACTAATTGAAATTAAATATTATTATTATTTATTATTTCTTTGTCGGTTTCAATAAATTAATAGAAAATTATTAATTAATATTTGGGTTTTTAAACAAATTATTATTATTATTAATACTATTATAGTAATTAGCGAGGTTTTATAAATAATTCTTCATAATTCTTCCGTAAGCTTTTGACGTTATTCACTCTAGATTTCATTCTCAGCAGAAAATATTTCTCTTTGAATATTTTTTTTTTTTTTGAGAAATGTTTTTAAATTATTATTATTTCGCATTTATATGTGAGATTTATCTTGAATTTTCTTTTTGTTTGTTCTTTACTTTTTTTATTGTTGTGTTTATCTGCGCGTTAAATAAATCCTCTAGAATCAAAGTGCAGATAAAATTTTAACTCCATTTTATGCTTAAATCACTGAATCGCAATTCCGGGGAAAATTAGTGACATACCGCAGATTTTTATTTGCCACTCGAATTCAAGTGCGATAGTAATGCCTTTATTCGATTGCCATTCTAAAATAATACACGCAGTGACCGTTATTTTTTTCATTGTTTTTTTTTGTTTGTTTGTTTGTTTGTTTGTTCTACAAATACATTTATTTTTGGTTTAATGACAAAAATGAAATTTAATAGTGTATTATTTTTTTCTCTTTTTTTTTTGTTTGTTATAAATATTGAAAGTGTATTGTGAATTGTAGAGTGAAAATGATAAATAATAAATAGGCACGAAAATTTCAATTCCCTTCGGTTCTTTGGATTCAATATAATGGTCACTCTTGCGGCAAATTAATCTTTGAATCTATTCTATTGATTTTGGAGAGACGAGAGAGGACTCTGGTATAGAGTGATTCCATTTGGTGAATTGATTGATTAGTCATTAATGCGTCTATATCAGTTATTATTAAGACGAAATTTCCCTCCCTTTTAACGAAAGTCAAATATAACAAGATTTATTTGATTAGAGGGAGAATTTTTGGAGAATGATAATTTTCATTAAATTTGAAAGACAATAGTGTGCTTGTTTGAAATTTTGTTTAATAATTCTCGCACATCATCATCATCTCCTTCCGTGAAATTATCTCCTCGGGTGATTATGTTTCCAGACGCTAATTAGTATCATTAGAAACTTGTGGAGAAATTTTGAGAAACAAAAATTTTCAAATAAAGAAAAGAAGGGAATTTTTATTTAAGAAAAGAAAAAAGTTATTTTTTTCTTTTGTTTCTGATTTTGAAATTGATAAATTAGTTTTTTTTCTCACAAGGAAACTTTGTATATTTGTAATGCTTTTTCAGCAATTATTCAATTTGAATTAACAATTATTTGTTTTCAAATGAATATGACGTAAAATTTAGAGTTTATTTATTATTAAATTATTATCAAATTATTAATTATTAATTAATTATCTATTATTAAATTGAAACAAATCAAATTAGATTTTTTTTTAAAATAGTTTTTCCTTCTATTATATTATTTATAAAGAAAATTTTTTCGATTTTTGGAAGATGATGGAAAAATTAAAAAAGACAATCGTTTTTTTTTTTTTTTTTTTTGATTTTGCAAAGTGCAGGGGAAAAAGATTCAGGTTTGCCCGAGGTTAGAAAAATCAGGGAATTTTTAAAAAATGAAATTGGTCAGAAAAATCAGTAAAATATCAGAATATTTTATTAGAAGTACTGTAAAAATAACAAATTTCTACAAAAATTCTGGCTTTTGGTCTCGAACAACCTTTTTTTTAAATATACAAAGACATTAAATTATCCATAAAATAAATTGTTTTGAGTCTAGATTTACTTTTGCTTATTAATAAACAAAAAATAATTTATTCTTATTGTGATTCGAAATTTTTTCTTAATAATAAACAAAAATCAGGGAATTCTTTAAGATTATTAAAATTATTAATAACTGAGAAAAGATTTTAGTTAAAAATAGTTGTAATTTTCAGAAATATTTGATTTTCAAAAAGTTTTTAAACAAAAATTTTCCGATAATTTCAATAACGAAAATTTCTGTGAAGAAATGAATAAAAATTAAATATTTAATAATTCAAAAAAAATTTTTTTTTCTAAATAAATAGATAGGTACATTTTGGAAAATTTATATTTTTGAGAAATTTTAATTCCATTTTTCAAAGATACTTGAAATTTTTAACAGATTTTATAAAAGAAATTTTGTAAAATCGAATTGAAAGTAATTTTTGTCGAAGAATTTCATTAGAAATTTTAAAAGAATCTAATTTTCAAGAATTTAATTTTGAATTTTGATTGAATTCAATTTAATAATTAGTAAATAATTGAATTTTACAGAGTATTCATATGTTTGTAATTTTAAAAAGCAGTAGAAAAGGGTCCAAGTTTCATTAAAAATAATTCAATTTTGAAAGAATTATATTCAAAAATTTTATTAACTAGTTAATGTTAGAAAGTTTAAAATTAAAATTTTTAATTCAAAATTTAAAGTTTTGAAAAATTTTATTTATTTTATTCTTAAAAAGTAGGTTCTTAAAATATTTTAAATCCATTTTTTAAAGATAATTGAATTTTTCTAAAGAAATACTTGATAATTTTTGAAATAATTGAAATTTTCTAAAATTATATTGAAAATAATTAATTGTTTTAATTGAACTAGTTATATAAATGAAAAATGTTTATTAATTAGTTAATTTTAACAAGTTTTAAATTCAAATCAAAGTATTTTAAAAAAAATGTATTTTGGAAAAGTTTTATTTGCAATTCTGAAAAATTTGGTTCTTGAAATATTTAATTTTAATTTTTTTTTAAAGATAATTGAATTTTTATATAAAAGTAAGTAATAATTGTTGAAATAATTGGAACTTCCTAAAATACTTCCTAAAAAAACTTTCCAAAAAGAATAGAGTTTATTAATTAAATTACAACTAAAATTCCCATTATTATTAATTTTTAAATTGTCTTTCAAAAATTGAAGTTTCAAAAATTTGTATTTATTAAAAAACAAGTAGGTTCTTAAAATATTTCAATTCCATTTTTAAAGATAATTCAATTTTTTCTAAAGAAATACTTGATAATTTTTAAAAATAATTGAAATTTTCTATAATTATATTGAAAATTATTAATTATTTTAATTGAACTAGTTATACAAATAAAAATTAAAGTTTTGAAAATTATTATTTATTATTCTAAAAAATTAGATTCTTAAAATATCTGAATTCTATTTTTTAAAGATAATTGTATTTTTCTAAACAGGTAATTGATATTTTTTGAAGTAATTGAAATTTGTTAAAATCAGGAAAAGATAATTGAAAAACACAATCGAATTTTTATTTTAATTCTAATATAATTTATTAATTAATACTACACTCTTCAAATTTAAATCAGTAAAATTTTTAATTTATTTAAATTTAAATCAATGACTGATTTTTTGCATTTGAATCAGTTAAAAATAAACTGACTTTACGAGAAAATTTGTTTACTTGTAAATCAGTAAATTTTGATCTAATTTGAAAAAAAATTCAGTCACTGATTCAAGTCAGTTGAAATTTTAACTGATTAATGAAATTAATTTTGCTAAATAATTAATTAACGAATTAATTAATTTAATTAGTTAGATAATTAATTTCATTAATTTAATAATTTATTTAATTATTGATTAATTAATTAATAATTAATTAATTATTAATAAATTAATTTAGTAATTATTTAAATCAATCATTTTCAGAATATAAAAAATCGTAAATGTATTGCAACATTTTTTTTGTCACTTTTTTTGTCAGTTTCAACAATAGAAAAATTAACGTCTCACATTGCGCACTTTATTTCCATGTAATGCATTAAAACTTTCTAGTGCATTTCCGGGAATGCAACCACCATCACAATTGCAGCCGAATATATTGCACGAGCCTTTGCCACAGTAGGTTTTTTTATCTTGAGGTCTTTTTCCATCGCCACATGCGTAAATTATACAATCGCCAGCTTTTTCGTAGGGACCAACTGGAAATCTATAAAACGGATGTACTATGACCACATTGTCCGATGATAATATTCCACCAAAATGCTGACAAGTCAGTGAAGTGTCCACTCGTTCGAACTTTAGCTCCGTCTTTCCACAACATTCCGCATTTATAACGTACGGAAATATTGCAAGCGACACAATGAACAGTAATGAAAAATTGAACATTTTTTCCCTAATTCTTGATAATCTTCTTTTTAAATTTTGTTTTAATCTTTTTTTAAAAATCTTTTTTTTTTTTTGCACTTGTATCTCTTTGGATAAATTCCTCAATATTTATACTCGAATATGACTTGCAATTTTTTTTTTGACAAATTAATATTTGACATTAATATTAGCCATGAATATTCTTCATGAATTTTTGACAAAATAATAATGACCTAAGATGATAATTAAGAAAATGACAATGGTCCTATTGAAATGTATTATGTAAAAAATGGGAGAGAGGTTCAATTCGAATCGCATGTGTCAATTAGTTTTATTATATTTTTTTTGTTGAATTTTGTATATTATTTTGTCTGGAAATCTTTTAAATGATAAATTATGATAAACATTTATTTTTTTTTGTTTTTTTTTTATATAAAGGAAACATATTTTTGACGTCAGTGATTTTTTGTTGTTGTCTGATTTGAATATTACGATAATGTATTTGCAAATTTATGGAAGACGTTTTTTAATGAATGTAAAAAATTAAAAATCAAAAGAATGTTTATTATTTAAATAATAATGACGCAGATGAGTAAATTTGATTCAACAAAGAAGAATGTGCAAAAATAATTTTATCTAGTAAATAAAGTTTTATTTACTTATTATTTTATTATTTTGTTTTATAATAGTGATTATTTATGAATTATAATAAATATAATTAGAGAGATTAATTTCACACACGAGAGAATTATTGTTTCTTTTTTTTATCACTTTTTTTGTTAACTTACTTTTGGAGTTGGTTTTTAATAAGAAAATCTTTATTCTCGATTTTATTTACTTTCTAAAATTTTTTTATTTCTAGCAGTTTAGATTTTTTTCAGTATTAAATTATTTTTTACTGAGTTTTTTTGTATAAAAGACAATTTTTTTGTTTTATAAATTTTAAGCCTCGCAAAATTAGTCGAATATTTAATTTTAAGGTTGATTTCTATCTTTCCACTCTTGCGCAAATTTGGGCCAATCTTGGCCAAAGTAGATTTATTTTAATTTTATTTTGAATTATTGTTGATTTAATTTTATTTTTAGTTGAGAATTAGTTTTTCATGTAAAATATTTGGAATCTTGGATTTAATATTCCAGATTTTTTCGTTTCCTGTCTTGCAAACTTGGGCCAATCTTGGCAAAGATTGAATTTATGTTGAAATATTGTTTTCATATTTAATTTTATCCTCAGTTGAAAATTAGTCTTTTTTGCGTAAAATGCTTGGAAGCTTGGATTTAATATTGGTCTAATATTTGAATCCGAAACTTTTTCTTCGTTTTTACTCTTACAAACAAGAACCAATCTTGGCAAAAGTTGAATTTATGTTGAATTATTGATTTATATTTAATTTCATTCTCAGTTGAAAATTATTTTTTCGTGTAAAATATTTGGAATCTTTAATTTAATATTCGAGACTTTTTTCTTTCTATTCTTGCAAACTTGGGTCAATCATGGCAAAAGTTTTATATTTTTAATTATCGTTTTCCCATTTAATTTCATTCTCAGTTGACAATTGTTTTTTTTTGTGTAAAAAAATTGGAATATTGGATTTAATATTCGAGACTTGTTCGTTTCTAGTCTTGCAAACTTGGGCCAATCTTGGCAAAGGTTGAATTTATGTTGAATTATTGTTTCCGTATTAAATTTTATTCTGAGATAGAAACTAGTTTTTCGTGTAAATTATTAGGAATGTTAGATTTATAATATTGATCTAATATTTAAATCCGAATCTAGGATTTAATATTCGAGACTTTTTTCTTTCTATTCTTGCAAACTTGGGCCAATCTTGGCAAAAGTTGTATTTATTTTAAATGATCATTTTTCCATTTAATTTCATCCCCAGTTGAAAATTGGTTAAAAATTTATTGGTATTAAGAGTTGATCCGCTACTTAATATTAAAATTAATTATTACCATAATTAAATTGGTTTTAAATTTGTGAAATAAAATATTAAATTTCCATTTTTAATTTATTAATTTATTCTTAACAATTACATTTTGCTAGTTACTAAATTTTTTCCTATTATTAAAATTTATTAATACAACAAAAATTAGAGACTTCGCACTTGATTTTTATGTTTAGCGAAGAAATTTTCTCGTGCGTCTCCCTTAATGCAACCACCTTCACAATTACAGCCAAATAAATTGCAATCTCCTCGACCACAATAGGTACCATTTGGTTTCTCACCATTATCACAAACGGAGATCTCACATATTCTGTCATCAGATTTGCCCAAGCAAAAATCACTCCTTGGATGGTCGAGATCGCCCATACGAATATCGGCCAAACTTCCGCCAAAATGGCTACAACTTTTGTTCTTATCGGTCATTTGGTAGCGCACATTTTTTCTACGACAGCATTCTGCGTTAGTTGAATGGAAAAATGTAGCAAAAATTGCCATTGTCAAAATTAGGCACAATTTGAACATTTTTATGTGATTTTTTAGAAATATTTTTTGTAAATACTCTAGAAATATTTTTATTAATTGTTTTTAACTTTTGTTAACTAGTTCTAACTTTTGTTAATTTTAAAACTTTTTTGTGATTAAAAAACAAATTTTTTAATTAATTTTTCAGTTGTATATTTTTTATTAACTTCTGTTTCGCCTTTGTTTTAGTATATATTTAGAACTGTACTTTTAAAAGAGAAATTTTCGTTTTGAATTTTATTGAATTTTAATCGCAGTATTTATACTCAAATTTTTTGTTTACTTAGAAATTTTTAAAAGTGTAAATTTATAAGAGACATATATTTATTTTTTTTTTCTGTTGAAAGGGAATTATTGACCTTTTCTGTTCTTTATGTTAATTGGAGATAACGTTAAAAGATTAAGATACTTCAATTTAATTTCATTATTAAAGAGATATATTTAGAAGTTTTAAAAGAAATTTTTATTCAACTTTTAATTGATTATTCGACTAATGAAATGGATATTTTTTTTGTTGATTTTAAATAACACGACTGGTGGTTCTAAAATTAGAAACGAATTTAATTGATAAATTAATTAAAAATTTTTTCTTGAAGAAATTAATTGCAAAAAATATTTTTTTTTTGTGGAAAGAGAAAACAAAATTTGGCGCCTTCATTTAATTCTATAGACGGATGTTTGTTATTTGAACTTTAATAAATACTTATTTAAATTTTGAATTTTTTTAAATGACATAATATGTTGTTAAGAAATCCTGCAAATGGTGGAAATTTTTTTTCTTTTATTATTAATTTTGATGTTATTAATTGAATATCAATAAATGATGTTAGCAAAGAGGGGGTATTTTTCATTTTAACGTGTAAATACCTTTTTTCTGTTTAGTTTCAATTTGAAGAAGAAATTTTCCATTTCGAGAGAGTTAAAAATATTTTTCCCCTTTGAATTTTTTTTTAAACATTGAGTTTAATTTTATTAAAAAATAAATTCAAAAGTTAATTGTGAAAATAAATTTTACTCAGAGACTTAATTTTCTTTTTTTTTATTTGGATGAATTTTGAAATTCTAATTATTATTATATTATATTAATTAATTATCATTAATAACTATAATATTATTAACTATAATTATTAGTTGTAATTGTATAATTAATAAAATATATTAATTAATTATTTTAAAGTTTAATTTAACTTAAAAATAATTAAACTCAAATAAATTGCGAAAACAAATTATACTCAGAGATTTAATTTACTTTTTTTATTTGACTAAATATTGAAATTTTTTATTATATAATTAATCACTTATTAATTATTAATTTTAAAGTTTTATTTTACTTCCTTGGACTTTTGGAAAAAATTTCTTTTAGTTTAAGTTTACTTAACAATATTGAACTCAAGTTAATTGTGAAAATAAATTGTACTTTGAGATTTAATTTAATTTTTTTTTTGTTTGGTTAAATATTGGAATTAATTATTATATAATTAATTATATATTAAAAATAATTACTATAAAATTTGCTGTATATTAATTAATTATTTAAAAGTTTAATTTTGCTTGAAAATAATTAAACTCAAATAGATTGTGGAAATAAATTATACTCAGAGATTTAATTTACTTTTTTTTATTTCGATGAATATTGAAATTAACAAATAACAATGATATTAATTAGTTATAATCAGGCCTGGTTATAATTAACAATTGTCATAATTAATTATGATTAACAACTGTATTGATTAATTATAATTTGAAATTAAATTAATTCGTTATAATTAACAATTGTGTTAATTAATTATTAGTAACAATTGTAATGATTAATTATAATCAACAACTATATTAATTAGTTATAATTAACAAATTTATTAATTAATTATAATTAATATTTGTATTGTTTAATTGTAATTAGAATAAACATTTGTATTGATTAATTATAATTATAATTAACAACTGCATTGATTAATTTTAATGAACAATTGTATTAATTAATTATAATTATTTATGATAAAATAAATTATTAATAACTGAATTCTGATAGAATTAATAATTAAATACTGAATTCTGATACGATTTCAAAATATTTCATCGAGGATAGTGCACATTGTAGACGTTCTTTCCGTGAATTGCTCGAAAATTTTGAAGAGTATTCCCCTGAATGCAACCACCCTCGCAATTGCAGCCAAATAAATTGCATGGTCCTTTACCACAATAAATTCCTTCATCTACTGGTCTACCATCGCCACATATTTTAATTTCACATTTTTCTCTTCTAATTTTGTCCAAATAAATATTATTATTTGGATTTAGAATTTCTCCTAAACTCGAGCCCTCAACAATACCATCAAAATCATCGCAACTCAAAGACTTGTCCGACATTGTGAAACGTACTAATTGCTTCAGACAACATTCTGCATTACTTGCTAATGGAAATGTTGCGAAAATGACCATAAACAGTAGTGAGCTTAAATTTAATATTTTTATACATTTCTTTAATTCTTGCATCTTAAAACTTTCACTTTTATTGCTTTAAATCTTTTTTCTAATTGAAGAAAAAAAAAT